TAAAATCAGTTGGCGACCACATTCAGAGGGGTCAGAACGGATTAACCGTATTTACATTGAACCTTATGGGAAAATTTGATTCGGGTCGCAACTAAAATCAGTTGGCGACCACATTCAGAGGGGTCAGAACGGATTAACCGTATTTACATTGAACCTTATGGGAAAATTTGATTCGGGTCGCAACTAAAATCAGTTGGCGACCACATTCAGAGGGGTCAGAACGGATTAACCGTATTTACATTGAACCTTATGGGAAAATTTGATTTGGGTCGCGACCAATTCGGGTCGCGACCAGAGTCGCAGAACGAATTAAGTTCGTGAACCGAGGTACCACTGTAGAAATATTTCGGACTTCCGGTGAGAAATGGCTGCATGCTAGGTTCTCCTTTTCAAGCAAAGAGTCATCTTCACAGACTTTTTTAGGCTCAGGCAGGCTTCCTGGAGCCTGAAGAATTCTCTGGATCCAAGGAGAATCCTAGAAGTCATCCCATATGACCTTTGGCAGCCTTTCACAGCCAGAAGACCTCGAAACAGAGACTTTCAGGATTGACTGGTGAGTGATCAGCTGGGAGGCAGGGTTACCATCAAGTTCCAAGCTGTGAAGAAGCCGAAAAAAATCCGAAACAAAACCAGACGCTTGTGTTGACCTTCTCATTTCCAAAATCACCTTTTTTTTTATTCACTTCTATAAGGTTAAAGAGAGGCTTTCTTTAGTTACAGTGTATTTTTTCCTTTTGGCTACTATAGGTGCTTTGTGGAAAGATTTACTTTCTTTTTTTATTAGGATAAATAGTTTTATATATTCAGCAAAAGAGGCAAAGGCTTGGACTTTCTATTAATTTTTAAGAACAAGAGAAAAGGAATTCTTTTATTTTTTTTTTCTGGCGAATCTGTGCTTGGGTTTCTGATATTGGAATGTAGATATGGGAACTGTGTGAACTCTGCTTTGTTTTCTTACTTAATTGGCCCTGACTGGAGAGGAACAAGCTAAAGAGACTTTCTCCCTTTCACTATTTACTTTGGATAGAATGTAATTTGTATTTTTGACACATATGGGAACTGTGTGAACTCTGCTTTGTTTTCTTACTTAATTGGCCCTGACTGGAGAGGAACAAGCTAAAGAGACTTTCTCCCTTTCACTATTTACTTTGGATAGAATGTAATTTGTATTTTTGACACTAGAGAGTGCTATTGACCACGGCTATTCAGAGAGCAAACTGCAGGGATGAATGTTTCAAGATTGTTTCAAAACTTTACAGAAAAAATAATTCAGTCCCTGGAGGATAAATTTGGTAATTTGAACAAGAAACTTGATGCTAAATTAAATGAGCCTGCTATTAATTTGAAGCAAGTGGAACACAAGTTGGATATTTTGGAGAATAATATGGATAATCAAGATATGGAAGAAGAAAGAGAGGTGGATATTTTACTGGACCTTAAAGAAAAAGAATCTTATTTTGGATTTACAGTTACTTTGGATCAGCCAAATGATGACATTGTTTTGGATTTACAAAAAGAATGTTTTAAATCACTGAGAGACAAAGAGTACTTATTGAAATGGTTCCTGAAAGAAGAAGACAAGAAGAAAATAATAAAGATTCAATCTGTGGGGCACTGTTTGCTAGGTTTAAAGAATGAACTTGAAGTCCGAAAAGCCGGAACTCTCTAAAAGTAAACAGAACTTGGATCAGTCTAATGGTGACACTATTTTGGATCTACAGAAAGAAGGTCTTAAACTACTAAAAGATAAAGAGAATGTATTGAAGTTGTTCCTGAAAGAAGAAGACAAGGAGAAAATAAAGACTCAGTATATGGAGTGTTATCTGTTAGGATTAAAGAATGAACCTCAACAGTTAACAGAAAGTGCATAAAGTAAATCGGTTTGATTATGGTTAAAACATAGGCTATGGTTTCTGATAGATTAATGGCATTTGAAAATAAAGACTCAGTATATGGAGTGTTATCTGTTAGGATTAAAGAATGAACCTCAACAGTTAACAGAAAGTGCATAAAGTAAATCGGTTTGATTATGGTTAAAACATAGGCTATGGTTTCTGATAGATTAATGGCATTTTTTTGGAACCAGAACTGCATGATGATGTTATTAAGATTATTGTTGCTTAATAGTAGTAAAAATTAATATAGGTTGGGGCTCCTGATAGTTATTAGAGGGGTTTCTTGTTGATTAGGACTGAATGAGGAAGTTACTAGGACTATATAAGGGAATGGTGGGAAATATGAGTGATATGAAAGTGCTTTCTGTTATCTTTGGGAAGGGATGATGGTATATAATAATACTAGTGAGATTTTTATATGCACATAGATGACAAAAACACAGAGATATTTAGGATTGGACATTAGTGGTAGTGGTGGAGACTGTGACATAGCGTACTGAAATTTAAAAAAGGGGGTGGGGTTTAGCCTTGCTTCTGTTTGGAAATTGCTTTTGTTTTCTTTTTTTGCTTGGGATTGTAAAATGCCATATTGACTTGGGGTTTTGATAACTGTTAGACTTTAGGATTAGAGAAGTATTTTGCATTAGTTATATTTTTAGAGTAAAGGATGTATGTATTCTATATTTGTAACTGTAACAAAGAAAGTCGGAAGTCACCTATTCTTTCTCTTTTCTTTTTTTCATTTCTGCACTTTTAACTTTATTTCTTTTTTCTGAACTTTTATTTCTCTTTGTTTTTTCTGTTTCCTTATATTTTATTCTTTATTGAAAATTTCTTTAAAAAAAAAGAAATATGAATATGGGTGTTTAAAATTATATATATATTTTTAAAGATTACAAATATACCTACATATAATTCCAAACTCTATGTCTTTTACAATAATGACTCCTGTAGAATTTCTGGTTTTTACTGGGAGGGGGGTCCTTATGCTGTTTTTTATTTTCCATGCTTTATTAATCATTGTTTAAAGAAAAAAAAACCTGTTGTGTTGAAGACACATCTGCAGTCTGCAAGATCCCTTCCTTCCCCTTTTCTTTCCTGTTGGGATTTTGAGGCAGCTGAATTATCTGGACCATGCCTGAACTTCAAGTACAAAAGGAAAGGTCTTCTGAATCTGGATGCATTGGGAGGAGGTGCTGTGGCTCTTGTTCCTTTTTTGCCTGACAAAAAGGCTTTGCCCACCAGTGAGTTCTGCACATCAAATAATTATGTTTGTTTATTTCAACTGTCTTGTACTTGTTTTCCTGCCAAATGGGTTAGACTTATTGATTGATGATTGACAGTTACTTCAGCAAATGTATGTACCCATGGCAAAATCACAACAAGGATATTTCACCAATTAATCACCTCCACAGCAAGCAAAACATTTTGGATGTGAGATTTTAACACCAGTATTGGGCAAAAAGGAACAAAAGCCAATGTTGCATTGGTATGTGATGAAGAGAAGGAAGAGAGTGGCATAGCTTATAGAATGTGTGGGGCTGGAATCAGCGTAGAGAGGGAGACTGGAAGTGCAAGTAGGTAGAAGCTCTTTCAGAAGGTCAGCAGAATAAGAGGCAGGAACAGCTGCATAGCTCAGCAGCCACACCAACTTCCATGGCAGTGCCCACAACCAGCTAGCACTGGTAGCAAACTTTTATCCCCCAGCCAGAACTGAAATGCCAAAATGCAAGTGGTAGCTCTGGCCAGCGACAAAGGATGCATGACTGAAAAGCCTAGAACACACAAAACAACAACCAAGAGAGCCAAATCTGAGGGGTTGAAGATGGTTAGGACTTAGGCTAAGGAGAAAAGAGCCTCAGTTTTTCTGCACTCCACAGCTGGGAGAGTGGCTAAGGACAGGTGTAGCTAAGCTCTGATATTACAAAAGTCTGAGCAATTCAAGTCTGCTTATAAAAAAAAAAAGGGAAGAAGAGGAAAAGAAGCTTATAGAAATACACAGGAGCAATAAATGTGGGCATAATAAACCCACAGAAACCTGTAACAATATCCATAGAATAAGATACAAAATGAATAAGAAATAGTTAATATAAAGATTGTGGGGAGGTTGGGAAAGGAATGGAAGAGAGAGCAGGTATAAACAAGAGAGAGCAGGTGAGTCAGCTGATATGTTACTTCATAAACAATTAATTCAGTGGACAGAAATCTGGGAAGAAAAATTTCAAACTCTGCCTTAATAAACTCATCATAAAGGATGATTGGAAATACTTTTACGGTGTCCAACATTCTGTATGTACTCCAGACTAGTATTAGAGATACCTTACTTAAGTCTATTTAGTTCTTTGCTTTTGATCTTGCCCAGCTTTCTGGGTTTTAACAAATAACTTATAGAGAGAATATAGAGCCTTAATTGTGTTGGAAAATAAATTATTTTTGTATAATAAATCCTCCTCTACAACAAAAGAAGACAAAACTCCCTCTTTGTTTGTGGTCTATACCATCTCCCAAAGAGAATCCATCACATGCTTCCAGATAGGCAATTTCTACTATGACTAATAATAATAAACTGATGAACTATTCTATATTTTTGGTTAAAAATAAAAAAATAAAAGTTTCCTCGTAAGATGAAAGAGGTTCAAGGAAAACATAGCAGGGCAGGGGGCTAAAAATAGAAAACAAGATTATCTACAATCCTGTGAATGAGGCAGGGTTGACTGCATGATAAATGATTTGCACAATCCCTTCTGACTGGTAAGAATTCTTGTCTGCCTAATAAAAATATTCATCATCTTCTTTGATTTATCAGTGAAGCATTTTTTCCCAGAATATCATTTTCAGTTTAAAAGACCCCCAATCTCTTAGAGTTAGAAAATCTGTAAAGATACTTATGTTTTGCCAAGCTTTTAACTGTTAAATCATTTTATTACATTATTAATGTTAACCTGAGTTTTTATCTTTTCTGTTTTTTATATGTTAGCTGTCTTAAATACTTCTTAGAGGAGAAAAGCAGGATATAAGTTACAGAAATTAAATAATAAATAGAGTTGCAGCCTTCAAGCCACTTAGACATTCTATGTCATGGATATAGTAGAGCAAGCCAATCAAAAGCATTTCAGCTCACTAGTATTACAAAACTTCAATTGCCTGCAATTGTTGGGGAGTTCCAGATGAGTTTCTTTTCTTAAATGCAGCAATTTCTTCATCCTTTAGCTTTAGAATCTTCTCCTGCTGTTTTGTCTTTTGCTGAAGTTCCTGTAAGTAAAAGGAAAAAAAACATTTTATACATATTATTACTAGAATATTGAGCATTTCAGTTCTCAGTTTGAAACTAAGTTTTAGTGGCAAGAAATATTATTATCCTTATCAGAATGACAATAAATTACAGTCATATCCTTAATATTTATGATTAATATTTATGTATCACTTTGATTAATACCAGTTTGATGTAGTGTTTAAAGACACCATGCTAGAAAGCAGGAGACCATGAGCTGTAGGCCAGTCCAATGGAAAACCGCTTAAAAAAATATTGCCAAGAAAACTGCAGGGACTTGTCCATGTAGTTGCCAAGAGTCAAGTCTGACTCAAAGGCGGGTGTGTGTGCACACAAGCGCACTCACACACATACACAGAGCAGTAAACTGTGCAACAACTCTCAATTGATATCCTCTTATTACAATACTGTTGAAAGGACTGGAGTTGAAGGAAAATGCATGGTTTCTCGAGTAAATTCAGAGTTGAAGTACAATGTGAACTAGGGACCTACTTTTTTGAAACTGTTTACCCATAAAACTATACATTAACTGCATGTTATATTCACTGAAGAAGTGTTACAGAAATTGAGCATTACAGTCAAGTGAAATGAAAAGAAACTATTGTTATTAAAGCATTACTAATTTACACATGAAATAAAATCTTTACCTTGATTTGCAGTTGGCCCTGCTGAATTCCTGCTTCCAGTATTTTCTTTTTTTCACTCTCCTCCCGCAATTTTTTCTGTAATTGGGCTTGTTGATTTTTCATGTGATTAACGTTCTGTTCTAGTTCTGATACACGTTTCTCATTCTGAGTAGATAATGATGCCAGATTCTTAGTTTCCTGCTGTTTTTTCTGTATGACCTGAAGTCACATAGCACATTTTATTTCATTAGTGACTGTTATCTTATGTGATATAATACTATTCTATTGTTTGGTTAGCTTTATAATTGGACTGTTTTACTAACTTGCTGCTTGTTTAATTATGGTTTTCATTGCATATGTGAATTGCTTTGGGCATTTTCAACACAAGGGTGAGCTATTTATATCATTTATAAAAAGAAAGACACAGACAAAATATAAATAAAACAAAAATCATATCAATATCATGGTAATATATAATACTGATTGCATCAATAATTAAGTTTTCAAGGGTTTTTACAGGTGGCGAATATTACATTCTTTCACAAAATAAATCTGTTCTTGGAAAATGCTCCATAAATATATAATATTTTATAGCTTGTATTTCTTAATATCTTGGTTACATACTATATACAGAATTATTTGGCCAAGGAATGATGCATATGAGCAAAAAGCTACATTTCTGGAAGAAAAAAAATCAACATTTGGAAGAGATATGTATATAGCCAGATATGATGGCTTATGTTAACACCCCTCCCCCGCCCCCGGGCAGGAACAGCTTTTTTGAGCTGCATTGAAGTGCTAAGCCACTTTGTTGCCATGGCTATTAAATCTATTCCACTATATTACACCAACCTAGCAACATTGTTGAATTATGACATTATCAACATAACGTTGATGTTGACTGAGTAGGTGAGATCTTTTGTACTTTTTAGAGATTATAAACAAGATTTTATAAATTTCCCGGTTCCAAATACCTGAACTTTCAGCTTTGCTGCATCCATCTTTTTCCTGAATTCTTTCTGTAATCTGGCTTTTTCAGCAATGTCCCTTAGTTCCTTGTTCTCTAGCTCCTGCAGTTGCTTTTGTGTTTCTGCTAAATCAGTTTTGGCCTGCTCTGCTTCATGTTCCAGCTGTGTTATTTTCAGAGAATATTGCTTGCTTACAGATTGAGCATCATTACCTTAAAAATTGCCATTTAAATAAAAAATTGAGAAATCATTTATGACTTTTGGCATTGTAGCAGCTATTTGTATTATTGTAATTTTTAAAATGTTTCACATATTTAATACAAAAAAGAAAATCTTCAAAAATTGGTCCAGGTGATACTGAAGATTGCCCCTCATAAACCTATTTTGTTCTCAAAACAACTGTGAAGTAGACTAGGCAGAGAAATTAAAATAACTGGTTCAACATAATTTAACTTTTTAGCTAAAAATTCACAGACAACTACAGATTTTACTCATCACTCCAATCTTAACAAATCTCATATACTGACTTTAGGCTGCCTTTTAATTTTTTTCTTGCACTGTGCAGCAATAAAGATTATTTCACATAAAACTTGGCCATCTTCCTACATATATAAAATGCAAGTTACAAAATATAGTTACCTGTTTTCACCAATTCTTTAATAAGTTCTTCTTTCATTCTGATATTAAGTGTAAGTTCATTCATTTTTTGCTTAGCAGCAATAAGTTTTAGCTCTGAATTCTTTAATTTTTGTATATTTAGTATCTGACTTTTCTGGATAAATTCAATGTCTGCACCTTTAAAGAAAGTATACTGTTTAAGAATATATAGCACATTCTCAGAGAGGCCTAAAATTTTAGGTGTAAGCAGCTTCGGAACAGAACAAAAATAGGCTACATATATTATGAAATAAACTGTATTTCTGTACAAGAGAAAATATTTTTTAAAAGGTTGAAAACTATCTCAAGTATATATTGTTAAGTACAGAAAGTTTATATATTATCTGGTGATTATATATGAAAGCACAGAACACAACTATATGTATGAAATATATGAATGGGGATTTCGTATATAGCATGATAAGCTATTTAAGCCTCCAGGTAGAGTTTGAGAACTGTTTGTACATTGGCCAACGTAGAAAAACTCAACTAGGCATGTTGTTAATGTACAAAAATGGCATGGAGGTGTATATAATACCAAGATGACATCTGATATGTCTTAATTCTTATTTGCTGGCATTCATAATGATTTTCCATATTTACTAATTACAACTTAAAATGCTACATATTTAAGTCTCTTTATGTAAATAAAGAGTATGTATGTAACGTATGTAAATAAAACATACGTTAATGTAGCAATGTAGGTGAATATGTGTAGTTCAGGGTTGAACTGTGGAGTCCTTGGGGTTCTCTGAGCTTGGTTCTTTTCTTGCAAACGTTTCATTACCCAGCTAGGTAACATCTTCAGTGCTAAAATGGGATGAGAACCAACAAAATCACTCCAAAATATCCTAAGTAAAAACCAACAAAATCACTCCAAAATATCCTAAGTAAAAACCAACAAAATCACTCCAAAATATCCTAAGTAAAAACCAACAAAATCACTCCAAAATATCCTAAGTAAAAACCAACAAAATCACTCCAAAATATCCTAAGTAAAAACCAACAAAATCACTCCAAAATATCCTAAGTAAAAACCAACAAAATCACTCCAAAATATCCTAAGTAAAAACCAACAAAATCACTCCAAAATATCCTAAGTAAAAGTGTGATCCTTTTCATGGCTTGTGTGGGTTGTGTTGTAGTAGGTTGAGTGGTCCGGCACTTTTTGATAAAGTTATGTGGATATCCATTTTGTTGGAAGGTGTTGTATAGGTGGTCTTTTTCCTTTTTCTGCTGTTC